CTCTTGGCTCAGAATAGGAAGGATAAGGTTAAGGTCATTGCCAACAATCACAAGGCCGAGGTGAACAAGTTCACACCTTCAACTTCGTTGCTCCTATGCACGCCAATTCGTATCGTTTCCTTGCCTCTATCTCTGAGGGTGAGATGAAGAAGTGTAGGGAGAAGGCTTTCACGGAGAACACCGATCTGTTMAGAGGCGATCACCCCTTGACACCGGATAACATGAATCTCCTAGTTGTGGGCGAATTCGATCCAACCAAGTGTCTTGCTTCACCATCTGCGCTGGCTATTAGGGGCTTTATTGGGCCTAGGGTACAGAGTCCGTTGAATGAGCTCAAACACATCTGGAACGTCGGGCGCCCGTTTCTCAAGTGCCAATGTATTTCCCAAAAAAAGGGCGACTGCGGTAAGAATATCACGTGGTTTGACCACGTGTTTTGGTACCTGCTCTCGGATCTCCAGTTTCTGTTCCAGGAGGCGCCGACTCTGAGGGCACTCGCGAGGGCCTTCAGGACCCTTGCAAGATCCGCTTGGCGTGCCCCCGTGCTCGCGTCGGTGGCGTTTTCGCACATGAGGGAGATCATGGTGACCATGGCGTGCACCGTGATCAAGGACCAGACRAGGATCCCGCTGAACATCATGGATGACCCGGCCATCATGTTACACAAGTTTCCGAAGACCATGGCCAAGCTCATGCTGCCGTCTAGGTACATCCGCTCTGTTGGGAGAAAGAGGAAGGAAAGGATGTYTTCCCCTTCCTCCTCAACCTCGAGGAGACCCAGGCAAGCGCTCTAGTCCATACTCCARTTCTTCATGGGGAAAGCGACACAGTTGAAGGATTCGTCTTCGTTACAGCTGCAGTCTGATCCCCTGGGGTCTGACTCCCCTCCTGGCTCCACGGTTACCACATTGGCAGATGGTGGATCCTCAGCTTCCAACAAGGCGAAACAGAAGACCTCTCCTGCTTCTGCTGGGTGGGCGCGATGAGTATGCGTCGCTATGGCTGGACAATGTTAATAAGCATGTGTGCTTGTGGGTGTTATGTACAGGGAGAGGGTGGAGTCATGTCTCGTGACCCCGCGGGCAGGAATAAGTGGTGCAAGAACGATTCGGAGGATCGTGGTTCCTTCTTCGTGCATGTTAAATACACCAGCCGCATCATGGAGAATGTTGGATTCAGAGTTATCCTTGAGGAAGTGGTGGATCTTTTCTTCCCCCAGACTGCTAAAGACTTGTTGTCCACTATGGTCATTGGTTAGTCTTATTTGTGCTCACTTGAATCTGTGTTATACAGACCAGTCCGTGTGTTTTCAGACTTTTCTCTGGATGAATGGCTGGACAGTTGTTCCAAACGCCCGTCGTGCTTTTGTGATACCGCTCGCTTTCGCCTGTTTTTTCATGGTTGCACTAACGACTTCCCCCAGCCTTTTGCTTCCCGGTCATCCCACGTTCTTTCCCTGGACCCTGGGATTGCTTCCCTATCTAAGCTTGCCAATCTGCTTAGGATGGGTCTCAACCATATCCCGCTCCGCCCGAGGAACCCGGGTGTTGCCTTCCGAGAATTTCTAAATGCATGGGATTCGATATTGGGATTTTTCACGGGTAGGATGTTCATTCCGAGAGGTGTGCAGTCGAAGGCCCGTGAGCATCTTTGTGGCAGGCTTAGGACGATGTTAAAGTTTTCAGAGACCCGGAAGTACAAGGAACCGCCGTGTGTTCTAGACCTTCCTGAGGTTCAGASCGAGATCGATTTCCTCTCAAAACGTCTATTCATCGCTGGTACCGACAAGTCACAGAACACCATCTCATTCGTATGTATTCACCTCGTGAGGAAGCTCGCGCTTGAACGCCTCTCTAGAGTGGACTTCGAATCAGTTGCGTGCTCCCCCGAGGAAATCCTGGATAATGCGTCCCGTTCCTTGCTCAGATTTCTCCCTTGGGTGTCGGTTAGCACGAAAAAGATACCATACCTAATGGCCTTGTATAAACACCACAAGCTTTCCTTCAGGTGGTTGACGAATGCTTCCTGCTCCTTTCTCACACCACTTGCTTGCCTGACTGACGCCGTGCTGAAGTGTCTCACCCCCATGGTTATGGCTCACTGTAAGGAGATTACTGATGGCTTGCGCGTTTTTCATGGTGTTGAAACGTCCATATGGTGGGCTATAGATTCGGTGCAGGACTATTGTTACAACTTACCGGCAAAGGTGTTCTCGGTGTTCTCTGCTGACATCACGCGCTGCTTCGAAACGATCCCCATCGACTCCTCTGAGGATGGGTTGGTNTCTCTCTCTCTCTCTCTCTCTCACACACACACACACACACACACACACACACACACATGTGTGGCAGCGTATATTTCCATGTTCTAGCGGTAGATTCATTTGATTTTGCTCATCCTATCGATGGAAGTACCATGAGGCCAGCCGCCAGATTGGAAACTTTAGTGTTCTCTCTCCCTCTCCCTCTCTCTCTCTCTCTCTCCCTCTCTCACACACACACACACAACACACACACACACACACAAAAAAAAAAAAAAAAAGCAAAAAAGCAAAAAATGAAAAGCTTCAGTTGCACCCCTCCCAGGGCCAGGGGAACAGCAGCTACTGCCAGCAACGGCCAAGTAAGCTATATTCTTCTATCATGTATCTCAATGACATCTTTTTGTCAGTACTCATCTATACGATCCTCTCCCTGGTCTATGTATAGTACGGGGGAACACCAACCAACCCAGATCTCTCCCTAGCCCACGGGGTAGGTTGGCACCACAGCAGTGGTGCAAGAGCAAGGATGTACCAGTCCCTCATCACGGTGATGAGGGGTAGGCAGGCATTGCCTATGGGGAAATCAGTGGTGCTAGCGCCCAGCAATGGCCAGTCACTGCACCTCCTCCTAACCCCGCCCAACCGCGCCTGGTTGTCTAATGGCCAAGATTGTCGCTGCATAGCAACCAACAAACATCAGCCAAGGTCCTGCCAATGCTGGCTTGGGGGACCAGCTGGTAGAGCACCAAGCATGCCCAGGCACGTATGGGGATTGAACCCATGACCTCCTGAATGCAACTTCTGTGCCTTACAAACTGAGCTAGGCCCGCAGGCCCTAGCGGGGGGTTTACTCTTTCTTTGGAATGTTTTCCAACGTGGCCACACCACGGCCGTGGATTCCCCGATTGGGTGGTGTGAAGTTACGCGTACTTGAAAGCAAGTCTAAACCTCCGCTAATGACACTTAGCCCCGGGAACGATACGACCGTTCGTTCGATTGCTCGATCCTTCGACCTTGTCCGAAAGTTGACTCAGCGGTGCATTTGCAGCCGTCAGATTGGCGTGTCTTGTCGATGCTGGTCTTTTTTCTGCAGCCGTGATATTGGTTTGTCTTTTCGGAAATTTCTAGCTGCAATCGTCGTGGGTATTCAGACGACATCGGTTGGCGGGCTGTTGTCGCCACCTCTCGAAAATGTCAAAAAGACAAAAATGTAGCGGCCGCATCTGGCTACGTTCTAGCAGGAAGTTCATTCTCATTTTGCACATTTCGAGAGTGCCACATAGACTACGTAGTGATGCGGACTACCAAGAAATATGAAATAGATGAGACAAAAATATGGCTTACCCCTACCACGTGCTTGCCTCCACGCTGCGCTTCTCCCCTCCGTTCCCGCGCACCTGAATACACCCCGGAAACGCGCGGACTTGTCCCATGTCCCCTCCCTCCTCCCTCCTCCCTCCCCCTCCTCCCTCCGCGGGCTCGGTCCCACCTGCGCCTTTCCGTTGTACGAGGCTGCCACGAAGCGACTAGCGGGCGTCTAGGGACCATCGACTCTGTCAATCCATTCCATGGTCCATAGGCACCCGCCATTCTCTTCCTTGTAGGTGAAATTGAGAGAAGAACAAAAAAAAAAAAAAAAAAAAAAAAACCAAAAAAAAAAGAGAGAAGAACATAGCTTTGAAAAAATAAAAAAATAAAAAAATAAAAAATTGCGCAGGTGGGACCGATCCCTGGGGGAAAAACCGTCCTGTACACACCATTCACACCTGCATGGTCCAGTATATATAAACGGTCATTACGGGAAGTATTAATCCGTCAACAGCAGCGACGCAGCTTAGAGTGCCTGATCAGTAGCAACGGCGGGTTTGTGAACGGTGAACGCGCAGGGTAGAGAATTGATCCTCGATTACCTGGCTTTGGCTTTGGCTTCGTCTTCGTCTTCGTGTTCGTCAAGTTCTATTTTGTATCTCGAGTTTGTGAAGTCGTGTGCTGCCATCTTCTTTCCAGACAAGCGAGCAGCATCTGCCTCGGTATGCCGTGGAGAAGCTGCTAATATTCTCTAGACCGGCTTTGTTGTCGAGTTGTCGTTGCTTTCTGCGTTCGGTTAGTTTGTGTTTCCCCTCTTCGATAAATTTCTCGTGCTGGTCTGTGCTGCGAGTTCATATCCAGTTCCGTAGAGCGAGTGTGAGGGTGGAACTTACATTTTTTTTGACTGAGATGGCGCCTCGTAGCTCACCAGACGGCGATCTGGAGACGGCGAGTGCATATGCCAGGGAGGAGAAGGCAGTGAAGATGCAGCCGGTTGAGACGGTCCTTAAGATTGCCAATCCGGGCCCTCTGGGCCTGACTGCCTTTGCTGTTACGACCTTCACTTTGTCTATGTTCAATGCTGGTATCTTGCCTAGATCCGTCGAGAAGGTCGCTGTTCCGCTGGGTTATTTTTATGGAGGGTCTGTGCAGCTGCTCGCAGGACTTGCTGAGATATTCGGTCGGAATACCTTCGGCGCCACCGCGTTCTGCTCTTATGGCGCATTTTGGATTGCTTTTGGCTATTATGTGATGGCGATAGTTCCGAGCTTCGATGGGCCGGAAAAGGAGAAGGTTCATATTGCCACAGGGGTGTTCTTGTTCACCTACACGGTGTTCACGACGTACATGGCCATCGCATCAATAAGGACGTTCCGCGCGCTCACTGCCGTCTTCGTGTGCTTGGCTCTCACTTTCTTCTTCCTCACGATCGGCGAATGGGGAGAATCGGACGGCGCGAAGAAGACCGGCGGTTACTTCGGGATCATCACGTCCCTTTTGGCTTGGTACTGTTCCTTCGGCCTTGTCCTTCTAGACACCTGGAGGTATGAGGTTATCCCACTTGTTTTTTACAAACACAGGACCGAGTAGCGCGTCAATCGGTCGCGAAGTTTCTGCATCGCCAGCTCAAGATCCGGCGGTACGGCGCTTCTTCGTCCACGCATTTTTTATTGTCGTTCTTTTCTGTGTGTGTGTGGGTGTGTATGTTCGTGGGTGTGTGTGTGTGGGTGTGGGTGGGTGTCCTGGCCCGTTGTGAATATGGGGAGTGTCCTGTGGAGTGCTTAATCGTTCAGCGGGAACGATGGCGCTGGTCTGCAGTTCGTTTCATTGTGAAATTAACATTTCACAACGTCTGTTCTGAGATTTATCTGTCTGCAGAGCCACGCCTTTCTGTTGTCTCTCGTTGTGCCACTTTTGTCCCGAGTTTATCTGTCTGCAGAGCCACGCCTTTGTTTGCTGTCTCTCGTTGTGCCACTTTTGTCCAGAGTTGTTACGAGCCGTCTTGAGGTCGTGAATTTACGGGAAGGCGGAGTGGCTTGTAATCGGGATTTTGGATTTGGGTTTGTGGGCGTGGAAAGCAGGCAGTAATGTAGATCTGATCGATGGGACAACAAGAATTGAAGTGTGCTCCCTCCGAACAGTGCGTGCAAGTGACGTGACATGGTCGTTGAACGCGCACGTCTCAAGCAGGCGGCGGGCGTATACAATGACATACCCGCAGAGTAGATCTGATCGAGTGATGAAATGGCCTAACGGTTTAGGAAATAACGGTTAAGGTGTCCTAACGGTTAAAATATTTTTTTTGGATTAGAATAAAATTTTCCTGGTTCTGATTTCATATTTGTGCTGAAATATTTTATACGGCGGTGTTAGCGTAGATTAGATTAAGCTTCGAGTTTCGTAATGGGTAGAGAGCAGGTTTTTAACTGATAGAGGAGGCGCCGAGTTTGCTAACGGTTTGAGAGCAATCTTAATGGATCGGAAGTCGGCTCTTGAGCGATTGACAGCAGGTTTTGTAATGGATTTCCTAACGCTTGGAGACCAGGTTCGTAATGGATCGGAAGCCGACTCTCGACGGATTGAGAGCAGGTTTTGTAATGGATGGAATGAAGGTTGTTAATGTATTGAAAAGTTTTTGCCAGAACTGGAAGAGGTTTTTAATGGACTGAAAGAAGGTTTTTGTCGGAGCCTGCATCGGGTTGATGACCCCATAGCCTCAGTGCCAAGGTACGTGTTTCTATTAGAGGCAACAGCTAATGTTGCCCGGTGAACGCTCTGCTCATTTCTAAGGGATGAAAGAGGGTTCTTAACGAATTGAAGGCTCCTGCATGAGCCTGCATCTGGTTGACGACCACATAGCCTCAGTGTCGAGGTACGTGTTTCTATGAGAGGCAATCTAGTATATTTCCGGGTGAACGCTGGTCATTTCCAAGTGCTGTTCTTGTGATAGGTTAGCAAGTCCTGACGAGCATATGTGATCGTCGGTTTCTGCGGCGGAATGTGCAAAGCACGAGTGGACACGTCGACAGTCAGATAGCGATGTTTAAGCATCTCGCCGGCGAAGATTAGATTTGACAAATTACCGAAGATTAGATAGAAGAACGCATAGATGGTTAATTATCGTGTAGGAGGATTGAAATGGTGAGGAATTTCAAAGAGGAGATTGGCTAGTTACTTGTTGCGTTCGTTTGGCGGCTTTTGGCCAGCTTATGCGGGAGGTGGGGAATAACGCTGCACTGGTGTTATTTTTTAGCCTCGACGGTTGTCGAAAACGTTGTTGTGCATTACAGCGGACGAATGATTTGTTCGGTCGTTTATGCGAACATTATTCTTTTACAGTCATGGCAGATGCATTTGAGCTGGCGAATGATTTGTTTGTGTCGATCCATGCGATTTGGGCGTGAATCGTAGCAGATGTACTTCTGACATGGTCGTTTCTTTTTTTCTGTTCCCCAAGTTGCTTTCTTAAATTTACTGATTGTTCAATTGAAAGGCGGATGTCTTTGTTCAAGTCGGGCAGTTGAAGAGGTGGAGCGGGAGATCGTTCGAATTGGATATGTCTTGACTCTTAAGCAATGGTGGTGTTCTCTACAATTACGAGAGAGGGTCATTTCTATTGTCCATAGGGTGTCGGACGACTCAGCTGAGATGCGTGAGGACATACGAGAGAATCATGCATTGACATGCGTGCTTATCGCGTTCATGGGAACTCCATGCCTCAGCTGAGATGGCGCGTTGTTCTAAACTCGCTCACACGTATTATACGACGAAGTTATTGTCGAAAATTGTTTTGAGCTTCGCTGCCCGCATTTCTGAGGAGAGTAGAATATCGTATCATATGGTGAGAAGCAACGGCCCAATTGTTTGGCTGTTTGCTGGTACAAAGGAGATTCAGGTGATAGGATTTGAGGGCTACAAATTGTCGACCGTTGGTGTTGACTGGCGTAGATCTAAATGAGACGAGGGTCTTCATTGTTGCCCACTGATGTTTCTGTTATAGACCTTCTGTCTATCGCTGGCGGGTTATCTTTGATTGCAATTAGAAGATGGCTACAACTGTCGTCTATTGAAACCTTGGTTCGAGACCATCTCTTTCGCCGGCTGCCTCTCTCTCTCTCTCTCTCTCTCTCTCTCTCTCTCTCTCTCTCTCTCTCTCTCTCTCTCTCTCTCTGCGTACCTCTCTCTCTCTCTCTCTCTCTCTCTCTCTCTCTCTCTCTCTCTCTCTCTCTCTCTCTCTCTGCGTACTCATCGCCCCCTAACTCTCTCTTTTCTGTGGGGCTTTTTCTTGTCTCTGTCTCTCTCTCTCTCTCTCTCTCTCTCTCTCTCTCTCTCTCTCTCCCCGTACTCGTCGCCCACTATCTCTTCTGTGGGGCTTTTTCTTGTCTGTCGGTCGGTCTTCTCCCTCCCTCTCTCTCTGTGTATGTTGTTGTAGCCTGTCCATGTGCCTCCCTCTGTGAGCGTTTGTCTAGCTGTCGGTTGTCTTTCTTCTCTCTCTGTGGCTGCTTGTCTTTCTTCTCTCTCTGTGGCTGCTTGTCTTTCTCCCTCTGTTTTTTGTCTTTCTCTTCCTTTCTCATGCTCGTTATGTCGCTTGCTAAGGTCAGTTTGTCTGGAATGTTGAGGTACGCAATTCGTCGCTCTATGATATTAATAGGACAGATCGGGTTTATGGGTTGTCTTTTGTCCTGTTGTGCAATGTAAACTGGAGTGAGTGTTGAGTGTTTGTTCGAAGAAGAAACGATTAACAGACGGGAGGGCAGTGTCCATCTTTTTCTCTCACGTGTGCAGTGTATGAGTATCAATGCTGAATGATCTGGGTCTGTTGTCTCTCTGTCTCTCTTGTGGACTACTAGTAGGCGCGTTGCCTGTGACTGTCCATGGGTTACAGCCGATCTGTTTCAGACTGACGGAGGGCAATTTATGGGGGCAAACGGTTAGCATGTGTCTGGGGTTGAATTTGGTGTCACAGCTACATGTCCCTTGTTTGTATTCTTACTTCCCTCAGGCTGGCTATTCCACTCAATTTTTCATGTCGTTTGGCATTTAAATGCACTGCAGCGGAGCCAGTACACGCACGTACAGAGCCGTGCACAAACGTGTTGATGAGGCTAGGAGGGGCTGAGCTTGTTGAGTGAGTTTTGCGGCTATGACGAACTAGTTTCTCAGACTCTAAACCGTTGTTTGTAGGGGAGTTTTTAGGCAGTTCAGGACTGCAGGGTGGTGTGAATGAAGTCGACCACAGTCGTCCGACTTGTGCCCTCATTTGGTGGCTTTGAGCAAGCCGGCCAGTCCATGAGTCAAATGTGTCGCGATATTGTCGATGTGCGGCATCTGAGAGTCGAATGCATCCCGATACTGTCCATGTGCAACATCTGACAAATCGCTTTATTCAGCGACACTGGATGTCATCGCCGCCTGTCCTGTCATAGCCGCCTGTCCATCAAGTTGTACTCAGCACGCACGCACACACACACACACACACACACAGAGGGAGTCATCGTTTGTTGTTATGCTGCACTTGTCACGCGTGTGTCCGCTCGGTAGTCCCGTACATTATAACCGCAGTCGTTTGGATGCGGATGTGGCGGTGATGCATCAACTGCTTCTCAGTAGTGCTCACTGCTCAGGACTTGTTTCAGAGGCGAGGTTTCTGGTGTTTTGTTTATTCTAGTGTACTTTCGATGTAGGCGTAAAGCCTGTAAACGGACGTGCTTTCTCAGCATTTTTCGTCTCTTTTTTCTGCTTCACGTATATAGCAATTGACGCTTTCGGTGTCCACCGTCGGCAATAACTAAGGTGGTTGGTCAGGAGGTCCACTCGTATTCAGATGTTCAGACTCGAATTCTAGATTGACCCATTTTAAGTATGGAGCACAAAAGAGCATATGATGGATGGTGGTGTTGCAATAAAGATGGACGTACACTTAGCAAGAAAGGTAGTAGGCAGTGTGGGTCCAGAATATCTCTCTGTACGGCACACATGGTCGTATCCAAATGTTTTATCGCTAATTGAAGGTGGCATTAATCCGGAGTTTTACGAGGTAGTGATTATTGTTTCTTATGTTTCTTTTCTGAGCAGAATTTCTTGAGCTTAAGTTTCTCATATTTTCTATTTGACCTGTTGTGGACGTGTGCAAACTCTCTGAGCAGCTGCGAATCGAACGTAGCAGTGATTTAATTACTGTGGTAACTCTCTGAGCAGCTGCGAATCGAACGTAGCAGTGATTTAATTTGATAGGCAATCTGGTACTGTAACAGCACGAAGCCAACGACGCGATATGCAGAATGTGTTTTCCAAATGGGAAGGGAAACGGGCATAGGAGGTAATCAGTGTCTATTTGACTTGAAAACCGTGAACAGAGAGCTTTACGCTGGAAACCGAGTAGAACGAAGTATGGGCTGCAAACTAGAACAGTTGAAAACGTGGGTAAGAGGGGAGGGAATGGCTCGACCCGTAGGCACGGATCGTGAAGCTAAACACGCTTGTCCTTAGGACTCCTTACCCCAATCACTTTCAGTGATGAGCTTTGAAACACAGAAACTAGAGCTTTATATCCGTACGTTGGCGTGTCAAATTTGTTTGGCAATGTGCAGTGTGTGATCCCCCTGTCATTGTTTCTTATCGTGTTTTTCAAATGATACCCTCGTTCGGCAACATTGGGAACATATGCCTGGCAGGGGCTTGGGGGGGCAATACCCCTACAGCGTATCCCCCGAAAGTAAGGCCCATAATCATGAGCGTATACAAACGCTGTCCCGGTCCAAATGCATTCATAACGCTGAGGAATTGTGCTCTGCGGAGGAACGCAAGCAGGTCCTCGTCAGCTCATAACAGCAGGAGGCGTCGTCTCTCACGACCCTGTCGATGACGCTGGCCTGATTTCGTTTTGTTTCTTTTCCCCGGAAGCGGAATAGGTCCGAACCGCACTCTGCTATGGTGCAATACAGACAGAGGCAACGCTGGAGGGGTCGAGCAAGCAAGCTTACCCGTATGACCCCTCCATCATAGCCCAGAAAAATTAATTTAATATCGTTGTTGTCCGATGGACCACGGATTAGATATGAAACTGGTCAGAACAGATACTACACTTCATCTATTTTTAACCAAAAGGCCGAGAAAGGTATCTGGCCTGATTTTTGCGCTAAGGATTAAATTACTTCCACCGCCAGAGCCGAGATTGATCTGTCTGCTGAACGAACAGCTGCTGTCCATCCTCACACGGTTGGGAGGAGAGGGTGACAGATCTCTTGGCCCACAACCCATTCATGATGCGTATTGGCCCGCCGCCCGGGGTTGGGTAATGCCCGCAGTCCGCGTATATAGGGGACAAAGCAGAACTAGTTTGAAAAACGTTGCTTCTGTGGCAAAGGCATGGACATGACACATTTTTGCATTCACCGGTGGGAGACGAAGTGATGACGGAGAAATTAAGTTTATCAATGTGTCGGCGGAGGGATAAAACATTTTTTGCGCCGTTCGAATGGAGTCATCGAATGGGGAGCTATACCGCTGGAGGCTGCCTTATCGCCTTCAGTGGTTTACTATGATCCCTGATTGGATTTTTCAAGAATAGGATGGAGGAGGTAGAAGATCGTGGGTTAGAGTCGTCTGCCTCACGTACACGTCGTGTGTGTACCCAGCCTTTACGTCTTGAGATAAGCCATTGACTTCTCCGGCCAGCATAAGGGGAGCCTTATTTAGCACCGTTGGGCGGCATTGGCTCCCCCATGAACACTGGCGTCATCATAATTGAGCTCCTCCTTATGGAGGTCCGATCATGCTCGTATCACATCCAGAAGCGCTATACCAATCCATGGAAGAAACAGATGATGAATAAAAACCGCACCTCTGATGCAGGCTGGGAGGGGGAACCTTGGAGGCGCAGCGACAGGCCTTGTCGTTCGGCATTGGCAGTGGCAGCGGCAGTGGTTCTCCCGTTGGCGTACCCCTGCTCATTTCGACGGGGAGAGGGGGGAAGGGGGAGGGGGGAGTATACTTTTGCTCTCGCACCGAGACGGTGATAGCACGAGACGGTGATACTAACTGATAGGGGGTGCGCTAGGGGTTTTGACCCCAGGATGGGATGATAGCTAGCCTCATCTTCTCAGGACAACCGTGGCTGACCACTTCCGGTTTCACCGTGGAGACTGCCCTCGACAACACCCTGGACTTTTATTAGTAAAAACACACAAAAATAAATAAAATTAAACTAAAATTGAAAAAAGACGGTGATACGAAGTTTTCATGCCAACCCCCCCCAAAGTCCCACGAGCAGCGTTGAGTTTCCTCAACGCCTGAATCTGACGTGTTTGTGGATCTGTGCAGAAATGGCGTTAAGTTTACTCCACAAGAACGTCCAGATTCAGGCGTTACTCCACAAACACGTCCAGATTCAGGCGTTGAAGATTCTCAACGCGCGCTGCTAGTGGGACTCGGCCCCGGTCCCCGGGGTTGAGGCAGAGGTGGAATCGCTGGTAGGTGTTTCCTGTAAATTCCTGTGCACACAACATACGAAGCGGTGATGATGACGAGAGGAAGGGGAAGGAGGGGCAAATGAGATCATATTGGAGGGACTTCTGAACTGTCCTTGCTGCGTGGCCCCCCTCGCAGTTCCCCTTTGTTGTCAAACGAACGGTTGTCAGTGAGAGCAGCTCAATGATAAAAAAAAAAATTTATAAACCGAGATGATGGTCACGAGTCACGATGCGGACACGAGTGACTGCGACTGTCGAGACAATCTTCCGCTAGAATGTGGGAAGATGCACCGCCAATAGTCTGCCAGACTGCCATGCTTTCCTTGTGCTTTGGCCCGCGGCTCCGCGCACTCGCTGATGCCCCACGAACTTAGGGCCTCGCCACACCACTGTCGAAACGAAAAACGTTCCAATGCATGTTCTCACAGAAAGTGGCAAGATGCATCCGTGCCTATGAATAGCAGCAGATGCATCTGGCCACTTTTTGGGGAAGATGCACAACCGGAGTGCCTTTTTCGTTTCGACAGTGGTGTGGCGAGGCCCTTAAGCTGGGCCACGGTCCCAGCCGGCCCTAGT